TGATTTAGATACTCCAAACAGATATATTTCTCACAAAATCAGTGCCAAGTTATGACCGTATCTTTTAATTAACTTTAAAATCTAATTTGCAGTCCCACAGCTGAGAATGGTACTGTACCAGCTTTGCCCTGAAGATCCAGTATGGAAAAAGAAATGGATACGTTGCAGTCATGTAAAAGGAATTTATCTTTATTTGCTAGGCACCAGTATTTGTAACATACACCAATACCTGCACTGGCACAGGAATTTCAGTAAAGCACTGCAGAAAACCTCAAAGTCTTGATGAATCCATTTAGGATTTAGCTATAGATCTCAAACTTCACAGTATGCCATAACTGGAGATGATTTGATGAATCTGTCCATTCTTTTAAGAGAACTTATTGACAGGAGCGGTACCTGTGATGGCTCCAAGGAGAAGGACTGTCACGGAAATGTGAAGAGCTGAGCTCTCCTGTTGTAAATTGTGCTACAGCTGTTTAATGAACTGAAGTTGGTTACTCAGAGTTTTCTAAGACTCAACTAAATTTTACTAAATACAGCCTGAAACCATAAATTAGTCTAATACACCATTAAAGATCCAAGGGTAGATAAAGTAAAAAGCTATTGCTCTTAGGAAAAATGCCAGGAACCAACTACACTCAATTAGGTAACCAGATTTGATTTCCTATAGTATTAAAATTGCTTAATTGCCTGTGAAAATTGTCTGATGCAGTATGGGTTAAATCTTCTTGGAGCATTTGCAGGAAATCAGTTTGCTACAATTGTGTTTATTTGTGGCCAGAATGTGTGTTTGGAAATGGACTGTTTGTTAGGGTATTAAAACCAGTTTTTTTTAAAAAGAAACTGAAGGTACATTTGTAAAACTATCCTGTAAGAGAAGTAATGTCTGGCCTGCTGAGTGAACTGAAAAATTAAAGGTTCATGTCTTCCCCTTCAGTGACTTGTAAAACACTTTCATCATCATGGCTTAGGACTAAAGATGGTCTGGTCCTGTGTCTGGACAGCCAGCACTGTGTTTTGAGAGTTTACTAGTATTAGCAAGGTACTTTCAAGAAAGGAAAAATCTTAGTTGGCTGTTTTTACAAAAAGAAAGGATAAATGACCTAGTGGTTTTGGTGCCACTTAAATTCTTGTTCTGTAGCAGACTTCTTCTGACAAGGGACAGGCCACTTGCCATTTTACTTGACTTTGTCCTGCAAAGTGCAAATAATTCCAAGCTCATATGCTGCTCCCTAACCCAATTCTGGCCAAATAAACTTTGTTTGCTTTTGCTTTTTTAATATTAGGATAAACAGTTTTTAACTCAGATAATTTTGACAGAGCAGACTAGAGAGTAACTTGGTGCTTTGTTAAACAAGAACTCACGCATGTCGATGTGTCTAATACTCCTCTCTCTACTGCCGCACTACGATTGCAGTGCAGCTAAGTCTCCTTGCCAAGTGCTGCCCAAAAATGTAGATGAGGAAATTTTCCCAACAAGGGAGAGAGAACATGGAGCACATTAATATCTTATGATACAAGTAGACATCCAAATGAAATAGCTCTAATCAACCATGTAAGTGGCTTTCAGTTTTACCGTTTCCTGGAAAATGAAGTTACAGCTATAACGTGATGTCTTAGTGCAGGATGTCCTTAAAGTAGCCACGAGGTATTCCTTTGCTTATTTGCAATGGGTTATTTATGGACAGATTCTAGCCTTGGGTTCATAATGCTGCACAGCTTGAAATATCCATCAGGGCAGTTCTGCAAGCCTTGGCAAGCGTGTTTCTCCTCAAGAATGGTACCGGTAGCAGAGCACACCATGTGTGCCAGACTAGACTGCTCCCCGTGCAAATTGTTGTCCAGTGCCTTAATATTACCATACTGAGATTTGCCAGAATAAACCTTGATTTTTCATTGTTTTGTGTTTGGACTGTGACACACTAACTTAGCTCACTGGCATTTCCCAGGCAGAAAGCCAAAATATATTATGGTAATAAGAAGATATATCCACAGTGTTTGAGTCACTTCAGTGTCCCCTCTTTACATTATGCCCCTTGTGTAAACCTCTTGGAGTGCTTGGAAAATTCAAATTATCATTTAGATAAGGGGAATGAAAGGTGAAATATATTAGCACTGTTGCAGAAAAATACTGAGTAAGAAAGCTGATGCATTTCCCAACAGCTTGCCAAAACCCACCTTCCTGGTGATAAGGAGTAGCCCAAAGAAAAGACCAGCACCACAGTCCTCCAGAGTTAAGAGATTCTGATTTGTGTCTTCACAGGGAAAGAGAGCGACAGAGGATTTATTCTTTAACCACAGTGCTTAACAAGAATAAGACCAGTGTCACAATCCTCTTGAAGCCAGTACCCATCTTTCCATTGATTTGATGGATGTTGGAACAGGTTCAGGTGTCTGCAACGTAGCGATCGTGTTTTAGTAATCTCAGGGTAAAAAGGCCACTCAGCATTTCCTTCTCTTCTTCCCTTTTTTATGGAGTGTAATAACATGCAAATCTTCCCTGCTGGATGAAGAGATCCAAGCTCTCATGCCAGGTTGTGTGCTAAGAGCACTGGTTGCTGCACACTCAAATATCTTCCCACCAAAAAGTCACCTTTACAGAAGGAGACAGTCTCAGATGAATTTACATCCCAAGTCTGTCAGTGCCAATGGAAACTTACCCTGTGACTTCAATAAAAGCAAGATTTGGCTTCATTTGCCATTTTAAGCTATGCAACTAGGTAAATAAATTGGATTAAAAGCCTGGTGATGTTCTGGAAATGGGTTCAAATGCTTCATCAGCTTCTGTGGTTCCGGATCAGGCCTGTGCCAGGTGGCTCTTGTGAAGAAGTGGTGAGGGCTGCCCTGAGCAGGTTGGGTACAAAGGAGGCAATGCTTTTCTCCCCACTGCTTTTACTGAACAGATTATAGGCTTGAATTCAAATGGCCAAGGGCCATCATGAAAGGGTCTGCTTTGATGGACAAGGAAAATGAAAGAATGTGATCAGGACTAATCTTAGGTAAGAACTGAACAGCGAAGAGGAAGATGTTACAGCTAAACCCTAGATTTGAGACCCTGGAGATCTGGAAGTTATAGTGATTCTAGCTCTAACAGACCAGTCTGGCTGGCATTTTGAACGGAGGCAAGGCAGAAAAGTTTCTGACTCCCCTTGTTTCGGGCAGTTAAGACCTTCTTTGAAGACCTACAGCCTTCATGACTTTTCTCCACCAAAGAAAAATGTTGGGGGAGGTAATAACTTCTCACCCAACAAGCTTAAAGGAAGATTGACTGCTTAGAGGTCTTCAGCTAGAAGCACTGTTGTTAGTACAACTGAATTAGGAAAGTAAGGCTTGAAATTATGGCTGCAGATATTGTTGGGAATTTTTAGAACTGCATAAATGCATCTCCATTACACTAATCTACATCCATTACTCTGTAGTACTTGGCATTTATTTTCTTTTTTGCTGGAGATAATTTTGCTACTCACTTAATGAGTAGGTGCTCCATATCATGCAGAGACCTTTTAGTGAAGTAAGCAGTTCATAAGTGTAAAGACTCTCACAGTGAGTGCTGGCACAAGGCAGTTTGATGAGTAATAAACTTTGGTTATTAATGTCAAAAGGTACAAACAGTAAATCGAATTCTCCTCGGTAAGAGGACTAGAGAATAACCTCAGTCAAGCACAGGCTGACACAATCGTAAAATGAAAAGAAAGAAAAGGGTTGTGGCTGGGTGGGAAATATGACAGTGACAGGCAGGACAAGTTATGTAGAAAATGTGAGAATCTTACTTTGATGCAGAAGATGGAAAAAGGAAAAAAGTCCTACGGCCTCTTGTCCCTGTGATGCTCCTGAGATCTTAATGGCGGCTTCATTCACCATGTGCTGCCTCTGACATGTCCCTTTGTGTGGGAGACAGGGACAACACATTGATCCCCCATATTGGGCATCCTCCCTCTGGTCACCTTTTCTGTTCTTTTAAGTACTCCTTTCCTCTGTAAGGTACTCCCCTCCATAACCATAAGGTATTTTCACCCCAACAGATATTATCCCTCTATTTTAAAAACAAGAGAGAAGATCAGTTGACTGTATAAACCTGTGGAGTTCACGCTTCCTCACATTACTCTGTTTCCTCTGGCTCACCTGCCTCATGAATGGGTCTGGGTGTGTAATGTCACAGCCAAATGTGTGATGGGACGTAAGAGACAAATACTGCTGGATAATTGCAGCTTCCAAGTAGGACAGATACAACACATGCTGAGAAGGTTTCACACCATTTAGGCCCAAGGCTGTAAACTGGTTATTCTAAAATAGCCTGGCCTGATATTACTGCCTTCTGCAGCTCAACACACCAAGTGCAGTCATTGGTAATTAATGGGGAATGAGGCATTTGGTGATTTCAGTGTTTCTATATTTGTCTCAGGTTTTCAGATGAAAGAAGGACTGAGGGAAACACAGACATTGATTTTTTCGAGCTGTTGATGTGGTTGTTAACAAGAGCAAACACAGAAGCTGAAAATCTCTGGTTACGGTGCATCGATACTTGCTTGCCAAACGCTGTATGCTCTGTGATAGAGCTCTTTTTGAAGGGGAATTTGTGACATCTAGGTATTGTCCCTTTGTCATTTAGACCAGAGAAGATCAGAAGCAGCTCCACTGACCCTCCTGTGCAATAGACACTGGCTCATGTCAAGCCTGCAAATCTAGGGTTTGACTTCAGAGTTTTGGGTTGGTCAGGGGTGGGTTTCTATCCTGCAGGACAATTTTCCAAGCAATGTTCAGCTTTCATTTTCATTGCAGTGTATCTGTGCTGACAGTCAGCATTAGTGTCATTGCACTTAAATAAGTGCCACATGCTGAATACGTGCTGTGCAGGGCTTTGTTACAGCTATTTAAATATATTCCAGAGCTAGCTGTCAAGGTTTTGTGCGTACAGATTAGCAACAAACCTGTGTTTCTTCTTCCATTGTCCACGCAATCCCTGGGAAGAGAGACCATTTGTTCTGATTTGTCTTTTCCAGGCTGTGAAGAGTTACTAAAAGATGTCCTGTCTCCTGAAAACTCTGGGCCTCGACACTATGAGCCACACTACGTTGATTACTATTACCAGGTAAGAGCAGCACTATTTCTGTCTCGCATTAGTGGGCTGAGAAAGCCTCTGGAGTGATGTGCAGTCAGGTCATTGTAAATGCTGATGTTTCACTTGGCCTGTTGACTCATCCTTTGTAGGTTCACGACTGTTAGCGAGCCTTCCATACTGTTTTAAGCTGCATTTAACATAGGGTAGCTGTTAGCTAGCATGAGAGTATTTAGGATTTGGGTAGCATCCCTCTTACAAGCCTCAGTATTTGCTTTGCTGTGAAGAGGGACATCACATCCAAGCTCGCAGGCACCACACAAGTGGAAAATACTGATTTTTATCTAATTAAATCAGTCAAACTTTGTAGGTGAAAAAGTCCTCAGAGACTGTCTGTAGATAATAAACAGGGACTCAACAGCTGTTGGGAAGCAGAAACAATACACCTTTGGTAACCTTGATAGTATTTTGGCTGGTAGGTATAGGATATTTTCAAACCATTAGAGGTCTTCATGTGTATCCTTAATTTGACAGTGTCTATGCAGTCTAACAGGGACAACGTTAAGTTTCCTTTAAGCAGCTATTTGTCTCTCCTTCATTTTACCTTGGTTTTAATCCCCTCCACCAATTGAAATTCTTCAGATTAAAGACACAGTTAGCATTGGACATTCAGATAAGGTTTGCATGTCGGTGGTGTTATGAGACTGCAAGTGAAATCAGGAGAGAAAACATTGAAAACATTTTACCTTCCCAGGTGGTGAAGTGTGAGAAGAATTCTCATGTATTGAGGAAAGGCATGTGATAAGCACGATGGTGTTACAGCACTTGATGGCGTTATACAAAATGGTGTCCGCTGTTCATACAGAAAGTAGAGAGACATTTCCTTTACCTCGGTGCAGAGGATGTCTGTCACAAGATGGAAGGAGTGAGTGCAAACAGGAGGGCAGAATTTGGTCATAAACTTTATTAATAAGGAAGAGTTGTCTGGGCTTATTGGCTCTTTTTGCTTGGCGAAAATGTCAGGCTGGTTTCAGTACCTGGGCAGTGGCAGGTTGACACCACCACCACTCTGCTTGTTTCTAAAATGCTCTTTTTTTGTAACTGATGACATAGATTCCCGCCATGCTGTTGCTTGGTTACCTTAATAGATACCATAAACCAAACTCCCTGTTTTGCAATAGATGATAGGGGCTATAAAATGGAAAGCAGGCTCTCTGCAAACACTAGACGTTCCCCTGTTGCTATGCAGACATCACAGGCTGGTTCTGACGTTCTTTGAAGGCAAGTAGCATGGGTGTTGGGTCTTTGTTCCTCAGGGATTTCACACCTGCTGTCACCCAAAGATGTGCTGTGGAGAGTGCTTGAAGACAAACTGTGAGATGGCTGCAAACTCCACCACTCCTGCCACCTCTCCACCAGGACAGCCTGAGGGGAGCGGGGAGCTGCAGTTCCTAATCTTGATAGTGGCCCATGAGTTTCCTGTTGAGTTCTATATTTATGCCTCTGGGAGAGGAAGTGGGCAGAGGGTGACCCTTCCTGTTCAGCAAGAGTTACCTGGCAGTGCTGTGATGGAAGCCTTGCTGTTCACTCCTGGGTAGGACTTCTGGTGTCCACCAGCCACCCTGTATGGTCCCTGCAGCGGGCAGCACCATTGCAATAGAGTCCATCCTCTGTGTTTGCCCACTTTAATTGGGCCAATGCGGTTTTTGTGCAGCCTCTGAGCAGAATCAGATTCTTCCCCATCTGCCCATGGGCAGATGGACTGTTGTGGTAGGGAGAGGGTAGGAAACGGTGCACTTTGTTGTACCCCCACGCTTATCCCACAGCTCCTCTGCACAGCTGCTCTCCAGAGAGGATCATGTCATCTCCAATCTCCAGGTTTTTCAGGTGCAGTTCAGAAACTGTTCACTAGATGTCAGTTAGAGACCGGGAAACGGCTGTGAACAGGTTCCGTGCTTGCTTTAAAGATCTTCTGCTGTGGCAGAAAGTTGGAGGTTTTAATCTGATGAAACAGAGGAGAACTGAGGCCCAGGTGGATTTGAGGTAATCACCATTGATGAGATTTGTTCCCTGTTCCTAAGGAAGCACGTACTGAAACCATATGAGCTCTCCTTGCTTCTCCCAAACCTTATTGAGTGTGAATTCCTGATGATGTAGCCAAGTTTATGGGCAGCTCCCAACGGCACAAATGGTAGTTGCCTGTCTAATCTGATTTTCATCCCAGTATACATTTGCATGTCGCTCTAATTCTCAGGTGCAGTCAAATTCTCAGGCAGCAGAAGGATACATCTGATGTGATGGCAGGAACAGCTATTTTAAAAGGGAATGTATCTCTCTCATTTCTCTGAGGGAGTTGTACTTACACAAAGGCAGGTACTGAGCTGGTTCATTGTTATGCTGCCTCTGTATTCACAATGTGATTTAAGAGAATGAGGAGATTTATCCTTGTCACATGTTATTTCCCCTGTCACCATCTTTCACTTTTGTTTCCCCTCTCAAGTGCCCAAATGTTGTTGCTTTCCGAAGCCCAAAGGCTGAGGAGGTGAAGGTAATGCCATGAAGTGGGATGAAGTGGCAGGAGGCTCGGTAAGGTGCTGAATTGATCCAGCTGTTTATGTCTGTTGAGTCAAATGGGGAAGAAGAAACTGCCAGCCCTCCAGCCTTTAACTGCAACCAACTGGATGCAATTAATTTAAACTGATACATAAAATCCCCTGATACCAGGAGCATGGGACATTACATTTGACATTTTCTAAATAGTCTCCTTTTATTTTTTTTTCTTCCATTAGTGTAAACAAGAACAAGAGCTGACAAGCTTTTAAGGTATCAAAACTTTGTCCAAAAAAGAGAAAAAAAAAATATTATGGTATATGCAATTTAAAATGCAAAGACCATTCCATGGAAGGTTTCTAATGGTCCGTAATGAAAGGCTGTGTCAGTGATATTTCAGGGGAACTAAGAGTTCATCCTTTGAGCTCAAATCTGTTAAGGTGTGACATGCAGAAAGCAAAGAGCAGCACTCTGTTACTACAGGACTCTCAGATCAGTGGGAAATCTCCCACTGACTTCCATTAGCATTGACTGATGTTGCAAAGAGTACGTTAGCACATACCGAGAGAGCTGCTCCAAAGAAACTTAGGAGGATGGGCTGGAGTTGGGAGTTAGCAGTTGTAGGGCCTCTCAGCTCCAGGACAAATAAACCTGCCCCCTATGTGTATGAATTCAGAATCTGTTGATTTGGTTAAGGCCTGTATTGTGCTCCTTTGAGGCACTGCTTCAGCCAAGTGCTGTTTATTAGTATCATTTCTGTTTCTTACAGCCTTTAGAGAGATAATGGAAATGCTCTGAATTTGTCAGAAGCCAACTTACAGATCCTGAATTCCTTTCACAGTGTTTGCTGCTATGGCCTCAACTCTTGTTTTGGCTCCAGTTTGAAGGGAGACAAAAGTCTCCCTAGTCCAGTGTGCAGGATTTGTGTTGTGGCAAGCATCTGGTAGCACTTCAGAGTCCTTGGATAGCCTTTTGGAGATGGTAACCAACAGAAAGTCCACAGCTGAAGTATGTGTGTGAAAACCCAGACCCAGATTCAGCCAGCTCAAACAAAGCAAAGTGTCTGTGTCTAGTATTTCCGAATGGCTGGCTCTGGGCCTTCCTGGGCACCTAGCCAGCTGGGAGCACTAGCCACAGGACTCAGAGGGAATTAGGCTGGCTGCATCTGAAGCTCCCTGGATGAGATTTGCATTGCAGGCCCTAAGAAGCAGTGACCTGGGTCTAGAGGCACCTAAGTTTGGGGAAATTGGAATCAGTGACAGGAGCTGGATTTTTCAGCTCTTCACCTGGCGTATTTTTGACTGTTCAGATTTGAAGGGAGCCTGTATCTAGATCAGCAGATAGATCATGGATGAGGAGGTTGAATGACAGATCTCAGAGCCTCTCACCACCAGGTAGCAGGATACCTGTTTGAGTAGCTGCTTATGAAGGGGCAGACTATGTATTTTTACATGTGAGTAATTACCTTTTAATCTGAAGTCAATGCCCAAATGCTGTACATGCAAACCTGGCGAAAAAGCATGTTGCAAGATACTATAATAGCAGAGTCCTTGTTTTAATCAAGGATATTTGTTTCTTATTAATTGTTGTTCTTATTAATTGTTGTATTGAGTTGCTGATTTCCATTTTTTTGCTGCTGTCACCTGTAAATAAGAGAGTGAATCTGCCTCTTAACAAGGTACAGGATGATTGCTGCATGTCATAGAATGAGCTGCCTTTTTCAGTCCCGTATGTGTACGCCTGCCTGCCAAGTGATTAATTACACTGTATGAACAGCAGAAAAATTGTTGAAACATGACAAATAAATTGTGTTTGCCTCTGGGATGGAGCTGGGACTCCTAGCTGGTCTGCTGCTTTGAAAATATTTTCAGTAGCAATTAGGAGTCCCCCACTGGCTTCTGAAAAAAGTTTTTTCCCTACTAGCAGCTTGAGGATATCTGCTAACACCTGGGTCAGAACACAGCGGGGCTTTCGGCACTGAAAAAGACTGTGATCCAAATGGGTGTTTCATTGGGCTGTGGAGGAACAGAGTAGTCTGAGACACAACTGGGCTGAGGAAAGGTGACAGGCCATTTGCATAGGTCTCCTTTGTCAACCTGGAATTGTGGTTGTTATCTCCAATTGTGCTGCCTCTTGCTATTTATTAGAAAGCAAAGCCCGGGAAAGCATTGAGTATTTTATTGAACTCAAACTTGCAGTTCTCCTCTTCTTGTTATTCCCATCTTAAATAAAGCTCTCCTTTTTTTCCACTGAGGACATCCCTTTCACCAGTTGCAGCAATGCTAGTTTGCTAGTGAACAAATCCCTCTGGGTCACTTCAGTAGAGAGGAGCAAGCAAAGACATCAAATCTTACCCAAGCCCAAGAAACATCTGCTGTATCACTTCTCATTTCCCAGAAGCCTGTTCTGACCAGTTTGGGGTGGTCTCCACCATGGAGACGATGACAGTCAAGTAATACTACTAACCTGACACCACAAGTTAA